CATATAGATTAAAATATATCTTTAAATTTAATAAACAACCCGGGCATCGCACGGGCACAAAACTAGTATATATATATAAAGGGAAGTTTTTCCCCGAGTTTTTAGAGAGCCACGTAGGATTTATTTTTCTTAGCGCGCCATGTAGGATTTTGAATTTAAGTTGTAGCCAATTAAATTAGAAATTATTAATTTATTTTATAATTAAATAATTCAAATGCCACGTTAGCAAAATTGACGAATGAAATTTTAAAGTTTAAATTAATTAAATACAAAATATTATCTTTTGAGATTAGAAATTTTATCTAATATTTTAAAGCTAATATAATACGTAGTAACAAAAATCACATAAATATAAAATAAAAAAATAAATTAAAAATACTAACAAACCGTGCATTGCACGGGCTTCATCTAGTGTAATACAAAGCGAAAATAAAGCTCAATAGTAGTGGTACTTTCTAATTATGTAGACCTTAAAATTAACAAAAAAAAACAAGTGTTGAATATGAGGATAATATCTATAGTGAAAATGACACATGCAGAAGCATGACCCGTTGATGATCTCTTGTTTTTTTTTATAAAAAAACAAGCCCTCTTTTTGCCTAATAATGTGATCCTTTATTGACTTTAATTTGCATAAATTAATGATTGATGGGTGGTGATTTTAAGCTTGATCAAATTTATTGCTCATTGCTGTAAGTTTTTTCGTGCTTATACTTGTGCCCTGAACAAGCTAGATATTGTTTTCGTCACAAAAATATCCTAATGCTTGCGCATGCTCAACTAGCTTGAAGTATTTGAATTAGTAAATGTGATTAGAATGTCTTAATTTTTTTTTTAAATCAAACATTTATTTCATCTAAGTAAATATATAAAGACACAACATATGGGCTTACATAGACGTCTTAGATGATGTCTATCAAATGATGCGAACAACCCAACTGAACTTAGCTATTTTCAATTAGGAGTAAACTTAGCCTCTTGATTATATAATGAAAGCTCTTTATTTTACCTTTATTTTCATGTGTGTCTAAAAACAAATGATAAACGGGTCTGGGCCACACCCGTCACAATTGTCCACTTTATACTATTAAAGAGGTTTCACCTCAAAATTATATGGCAATGAGAGGAGTAACCCCTTAGCCTTAAAAAGTGGGCACAGCTTTCATATTTCTTCAATGTGGGATTGATAAACATCCTAATACAAACTCTCACTTATAAAATTAACTAATATGGGATAACACACCACTCGCATTTGAATTTTCTCGAGGGTTCAACAACAAAGGTTTTCATGTAACCCTGGCCCACCACATAAGCATATAGTACTACACTACAAAAAATCCAGTGAATTGCGATCGCCAGCACCGGTCGCAATTTTTGAGGAAAACGGTTGCTATTTAGAATTGCGACCGTCACCGGTCGCAAAGGCACGACCGTAATTTAACTGGTTGCAAAAAATAAAAAAAAATCGCGGCCACTTGGCGGTCGCAGATCAAATTGCGACCGTTTTTCGTATTTTCAACGGCCGTCTTTTAAACTGACGTAATTTGTTATTTGCGACAGGCAAAGCGGTTGCAATTGCTGAAAATTACGACCGCTTTAGACGGTCGCAAAACTCGGGGATCTGCGACAGGCAGTAACGGTCGCAATTTTCAGTAAATTTCGACCGTTTGAGACGGTCGCAAATTCCTGTGATCTGCGACAGGCCCTGACGGTCGCAAAAACACAGGATCTGCGACATGCCCTGACAGTCGCAATTTTCAGTAAATTACGACCGCCTAAGACGGTCACAAATTCCTGTGATCTGCGACAGGCCCTGACGGTCGCAAAAACATGGGATCTGCGACAGGTTAAATAAACGGTCGCAATTCGTCATAGAATTGCAACAACACAATTTATTATTATAATGCAATTTTCAAATAATTACAATTTGCATTATCGATGCCATCCTAACCTGAACCTATAACCTGTTATCATGTGAATTAATTTCAAAATTAATATAAAATAAAAATAAAATGCGTAATTCATATAGATAATAATATTAATAATTAAAAAGTCCAACTTCGAACAATGCATAACAATAATAATGTTCAAGTTAATAGTAATAGTAATTAGTTAGTAATAGTTTTATAAGCTTAACTTTAAAACTAAGTTAGGTCTATATGAATAAGTAATGGCCTATGTTCCTTCAAAAAATAGATAAGGCCAACATGTAGCAATATAATACCAATTTCAGGCCTATATTCCCCAAAAAATAACGAAATGGCCTATATCCCCCCCAAAAAAACCTAAGGCCTATATTCCCAAAAAAAAAAACCTAAGGCCTATATTCCCCCAAAAAAATACTAAGGCCTATATCAACAATACTAATGTAAGAGCTTTATGAACAAAAACTACGACACCGGAGTCTAGTGACCAAGCCCACCACCACTCATGTCCGGGTCATCTTCCCTACGAAACTGAAATGGAGGACCACCTGAACAGTTAGAGAACAAGTTCTGCAACATTGTCTCCATCATTCGCTTACTCTCAATTGCCGCCTCTTCTCGCTCCTTCTTCAATGCCTCCTGCAACTGCGTTGCAAACTGTGCCTGCATTTGCACTTTTGCCTCCTCTATTCGCTCGACAACCTCGGCTTGCACACGTTCCTCCAACTGTGAAGCTATAGAAGGATTGTACGATTGCGAGCCTTTCTCATAAGAGGGGATGTAAAACAAACTAGCACTTGCACATAGGCCCTTCACTACACCCTTTTTCCTACCACCAACAACCTCCCAGCATAGCTGGTTAGGGTCCGGTTGTGACCCTTCTTGAGTGGAAGACTCGTCAAGCTTCTTTTGGTAGGCTTCCTGAAATCAAACAAAATAAATTATGCATATTAAACATGTTTATAAGTTCAAATTGCGAAAACATACACATTTTCAAGTATTTACAAGGCTATAGGTTTACAGCTTGGCTAAAATGGCTTAAATGGCCTTCTAACTTACCCATTTTCTTTGTTTTTGATATATTCTAAGACTTTGTCATTCAAACACTCATATTTAGCATATAAAACGTGTTTATAGGTTCAAATTGGTTAATCATAGAGATTTTCATGCATATTCAAGGCTATAGGTTCATGACTAGGATAAAATGGCTTAAATGACCTTCTAACTTACCCATTTTCTTTGTTTATGCTATATTCTAAGATTATCAATCAAACAACTCATATTTAGCATAATAAACATGTTTATATGTTCAAATTGCAAAAACTTACACATTTTCATGCATAATCATGGCTATAGGTTCATGACTAGGCTAAAATGGCTTAAATGGCATTCTAACTTAGCCATATTCTTTGTTTTTGCTATATTTTAAGAATTTATCAATCAAAGTTACTCATATTTAGCATACTAAACATGTTTATAGGTTAAAATTGCAAAAACTTGCACATTTTCAAGCATATTCATGGCTATAGGTTCATGAATAGGCTAAAATGGCATAAATGACCTTCTAACTTACCCATTTTCTTTGTTTATGCTATATTCTAAGATTTTATCAGTCAAACAACTCATATTTAGCATAGTAAACATGTTTATAGGTTCAAATTGCAAAAACTTACACATTTTCATGCATATTCATGGCTATAGGTTCATGACTAGGCTAAAATGGCTTAAATGGCATTCTAACTTAGCCATATTCTTTGTTTTTGCTATATTTTAAGAATTTATCAATCAAACAACTCATATTTAGCATATTAAACATGTTTATAGGTTCAAATTGCAAAAACTTACACATTTTCGTGCATATTCATGGCTATAGGTTCATGACTAGGCTAAAATGGCTTAAATGACATTCTAACTTAGCCATATTATTTGTTTTTGCTATATTTTAAGAATTTATCAATCAAACAACTCATATTTAGCATAATAAACATGTTTATAGGTTAAAATTGCAAAAACTTACACATTTTCAAGCATATTCATGGCTATAGGTTCATGATTAGGCTAAAATGGCATAAATGACCTTCTAACTTACCTATTTTCTTTGTTTTTGTTATATTCTAAGATTTTATCAATCAAACAACTCATATTTAGCATACAAAACATGTTTATAGGTTCAAATTGGTTAATCATAGACATTTTCAAGCATTTACATGGCTATAGGTTCCTCAAATTTCAAATCACAAGTATAAGTGCCTATGTTTTGCTTGCTTCCTTAAAAAATAATTTCATTAGTTTCCAAAGTTAGATGTGTTACCGAGATTTGTTGTGCCCTCTTGTTAGCCGCAACTTTTCCTTTTCCTGGAACTTCCTTGAAATGTGTCTTTAGGAACACCTCAGGAGCAGTTAGAAGCACTCCACCGGCTTTCTGAGCCTGTACAAATCAAATTACTCCATAAATTCTTAGTGTATGTTACTACTAAAATTTATCAGTATCATTATATATCATTAAGTATTACCATTTTCTTTGCATGCTTTGATGCAGAGATAGAACCTTGGAAGTGTGACGGCTCAATTGGATTAGACATGGAGCCGCCCCTCCTGTTCTTCTTTGCCTTTTTTGACCTCTCTAGAAATACCGGATCCTTTCTTTTTGCCATAATTTGCTCAAACATAGACTCTCCCATCCATCTGGGAACTGACTTGTTTCTGACCAAAACATTGTATGTAATCTCTTTCAGCCTCCTATGTGCCTTCTTTTCATACTCCTTCTTCACGAGGGCATCAAGATCAGCATTCCAAAGGTATTGTTTCTGCGAACAAGAAAAATAAAATGTATAATAATTTATTGTAATAAGTAACCAAAAAACAACAAAGTTAGATGAGTAAACTAAACTTGGGGGTTTTATAATACCGTAAACGAGTTCCACCAGTGGGTCTTAGTATCCTTGTCAACCATTTCATAGTTAAGCCATGGTTCGCGCCAATGTGCTTGAAAAATATTTGTAATGGAGGTGCTCACGGTGTTATCATCGAACCTTTGTACCAATAAGCAAACAAATGAAGTCATTACATAAAAATCTAACCATATCTTTCCATATCACTCAATTTGATGGTGGAACAACAAAGATCACGGAAGAAAAGACTAATCTCAGTAATAGCTTTCCAAACATGGACCGGGAGCAATTCCTTCAAAGCAACCGGCAACAATCTCTCCATGAAGACATGACAGTCGTGGCTCTTTAAACCATGAAGCTTACATGATTGTAAATCTACACATCTACTCAAATTAGAAGCATAACCATCGGGAAATTTCAAGTTCTTTACCCACTCGCATAACACTTTCTTTTGAGCCTTTTCGAGTGAGAATGGGGCTTTCGGCAAAGTGTCTTTGCCTCTCGCATCCTCCGTCACATGTAGTTGTGGTCGTTTGCAATATATGGCAATGTCATTTCTAGATGCAATTGTGTCTGAAGTATGTTTTTTCAAATCCATCACTGTGTGAATTAGTTGGTCAAAGAAATTCTTTTCAATATGCATCACATCGAGGTTGTGGCGGAGGCGAAGAGTCTTCCAGTACGGTAGCTCCCAAAGAACGCTTTGCTTAAACCAACCTAGTTTCTTCTTTTTCAAGCTTGCAAGTGCTTCTGGTCCATCTGTTGCCTTAGCAAAGTGTTGAACTTGTTGCCATAGCTCATCGCCGGACATTATGTGAGGTGGTGTCCTCTTTTCAACCTTGTTCTTACAAAAAGCAATTTTGTTGTTTCGAAAAGGATGTTCGGGAGGAAGAAATTGTCGGTGACAATCAAACCAAGACATTTTACCATCATGTTCAAGCCAAAAAGCTTTTAATTTGTCCAAGCAATATGGACATGCTTTTTTACCAGCTGTTGCCCATCCAGAAATCATACCATATGTTGGGAAATTACTTATAGTCCACAAGATTGCTGCACGCAAATTGAAGTTTTTTCTTTGCGAGATGTCGTAAGTTGTTGCACCAACATCCCACAGTTCTTTCAGTTCTTCAATTAACGGTTGCATATACACATCCAAGTTCCCATTCAGATTTTTAGGACCAGGAACGAGAAAAGAAAGGAACATAAATGGTTTTTTCATGCACATCGATGGAGGCAAGTTATAAGGGATCAGAATGACTGGCCAACATGAATACTGACCCCCAAACTTTCCATTAGGAGCAAACCCATCGGTACACATACCAAGTCTCACATTTCTATGGTCAGATGCGAAATCGGGGAAGGATCTATCCAAGTGCTTCCAAGCTTCACTATCACTAGGATGCGCCATTGTGCCTTGGACTCTTGGATTTTTGGAATGCCAAGTCCTTTCCTCCGCAACGTTCTTTGTTGCAAACAACCGTTGTAGCCTTGGAGTGATTGGAAAATATATGAGTTCTTTTATTGGAACCAATGACCCCTTTGAAGTCCTCTTGTATCTATCCCTTTCGCACACTCTACACTTATCCAACTCAGCGTCAACTTTCCAAAATAACATACAACCCTTTGGGCATGCATGGATCTTCTTGTGCGAAAGCTCAAGTCCGTTAAGAATCTTCTTTGTATCATATAATGTTTTCCCCATCTTATTATTGCCGGGAATCGCTTCGTTCAGTAATGAAGCAAACCCATCAACGCACCTATGGGGCAAATTGTATTCCGACTTCAAAGATACAATTCGAGATGCCATTTCTAGCACAGACATGGAGCTACCTTCGTATAAAGGTTGCTCGGCAGCCTTTAAAAGCTCTTGAAATGCTTTTGCTTGAGCATTTGGCTCTTCGTCTGAACCGCTAGTACTATCGTCACCTGGTGGTTCATGATTACTCCCAAGAGCATCGAGAACCATTTCACGGTAAGTATTTGGTTGCTCTACACTTGATGTAGGGAAGAAGACTAGCTTTCCGGTATCTTCACTAACTCGATTCAAGAGCGACTCCCAGACAGATAAAAAGATTTCATCTTTCCAATCATAGTAATCAGGTATAAACCCCTTTTTGTACAAATGGAGTTTTACTGTGTTGGCATCATGAAGACGTCTATTCTTACATAACAGACAAGGGCATCTTACTTCATCTATACCTGGGCTCTCAGGATGAGCTTCACAAAACCGTATGAATTGTTCAACACCATCCACAAACTCTGGCCTAAGTCTACGAGCATTACCGCCATCGTATCTATCGTACATCCACCAACGCTCTTTCCTTTTCATGGTGACAAATTCTACAACACTATGAAAAACAAATCACATTAATCATTCACACTGAACTTGTATTTATTACAATAATGGCATACAATACAATTAGAATCGAAATGATATCCAAAGGTCCTTATCATGACTTCAACAGGAAAGCTGATTTCACATTCTTTATTAAGAGATTTAAACATATGTTATGTCACATGCTTCTAACTTGATAAATAATTATAATTTTTACAACATTTTTTCTAAGATACTTATTATTTATAATTTACAATATTGATTAAATTATTTATAACTTACACTAAAAAATTATATTTATACCATTTCAAAGTAAATTTATGTAACATTAATAAAATAATAGAAGCAATATGATTTGTATACTTAACAAAGATGAGAGTTTGATAACAAAAATCAAAAATAAAAATATTAAAAAAAAAAACAACCACAAGTAATCCTTCATGAAAAAACAAAATTATTTACAAAATACTTTATTGAACCATAATACAAATTATTGTTCAAAAGATTATAATAACCCCTTAAACATACATATTTCTAATAAAGCCATTGTAATTCAATAAGAATCATTTTTTTTAAAACGAAAACTAAAATTATCCAACACATGAGTTCACACCATCCAATAGTCCTACATTGGACATAAAGCAAAATAAATTTCTATTCCAACTAAAACACATCCAAGTTCTAGCCTACGCACAATAAAGCATAAAAAATCCAACAATGAACCAAGCTATCAATAACAAACTAAAATTATCCAACAGATGAGATCACAACTCCATAAACAACTAACATAAATATGAATCATATTGCACAAGTAAAAGAAGTAGATAAATAAGAAGGGAAGAAAAACACACAGCGGAGGAGTTGACCAGAAAAGCAGAGGCGGCGACGAATGTGGTCCTGGTATATGGTAGTGTTACACTTTTAGGCAGGGTATTTATAAAAAAATTTAAAATGAAAAAAATAAATAACTACAGCCGACTTACCTAGTGGGGGCGATGGAAAAAGACAGAAAAAGGAGGAAGGACGGGCAGAAGAGGAATCTGGCGACGATGGAGCTGCAAAGGGGGTTAATTTGCAACTCACAATTAGCTGTTTCAGATTAAATAACGAAATTAAAAAAAAATCAACCAAAAGGTCAAGACTGAGAACATAGCTTTAATCAAAAGTTTAAGAGTTAAATTTCACCATTTTTAACCAAAAATTAGGCGAAAAGGCTATTTATACTATTTAAAGAAAATATTCAACTATGTAGCCTTATATTAAAGTAATTACAATGAGATAAACCCATGTATTAATACACATTTACGATAAGGTAGCTTATTTGAAATGCACATTTACCATCACTACTAGAAATAGGCTAAATTCCGACGGAAAAATTCCGTCGGAAACACCCTGAAATCCGTCGGAAATAGGGTTTCCGACGGAATTCTGTCGGAAGCGGTTGTCGGAAAAGCATTTGTAGGAAAAATGAACTTTTCCGATGGAAATTCCGTCGGAAACACTATTCCGACGGAATTTTCCGCCGGAAACACTATTCCGACGGAATTTTCTGCCGGAAAATTCTGTTCAGGTACAGCAACAATCCGTCGAAAATTACCGACGGATTTGATTCCGTCGAAAATTTCCGATGGAATTTCCGTCGGAAATTGCTTTTCTGAATTTTAAAAAAAATACGCCGCGCCACCACTGGCACGGCGTATCACCACCTCCAACCCCCAAAAAACCCAACATCATATACCGCCACAACCACCAACCCCTAACTCGTATCAGCAGTCTAGAACCATCCCACCACCCACAACCACCAGATCTACCACCAAACCCGAAAAAATTAACGAAAAACAAAAAAAAAATTAAAATGAAAACTTAAAACCCGAAAAATTCTTTGAAAACAGAACAAAAAAAAGAAAAAAATAAACAAAAAATGAAACAGACCTACCGCCACCACCCACCTAAAACCACCGTCGAAACCCACCTAAAACCACCGCCGAAACCCACCTAAAACCATTGCCGAAACCCGAAAAAAATTAACAAAAAAAAGCAGAAAAAAGAAATTAAAATCCCAACACCCTAAACCCGAACTTCAACAGCCACCATAACCACGTATTTTAGATATAGTAAACTTGAAAACCGAAAAAAAAACCCGAACAAAATAAGTTGGAAATCAGAGCAAAAAACTTACCACAACGATTCAAAAACTTGAAATTGGTCTGAAAATTGGTTATATAAGGCGAAATTCGACCATGAAAACGCTAGATCTAGCATTTCCATGGTTGAACTTGACCTTAAAACCATAAACGCCGGGAATGTGGTCGGGAATATGGTCGGAAAAGCTTCGTGGGCTAGCTTTGGTAATGAACAACAAATTAAAGGAGATCGAGAGAGGAGAAAAAAAGAGTAGAGAAGGAGATCGAGAGATAAGAGATAAAGAGAGAGGAGAGATAAAGAATGAAGAGAGAGAGAGGGAGTGCGGCGCGGTGATGAGGGAAAGAGGAGAGTGAGGGAGAAAGGGAAACTGAAAGGGGGTGGGGTTAGTTTTAGGGTTAAGCTATTTATACCAAATTTTTTGCCTTTTAAAATAAATGTGGTCAGATGCTTTCCGACGGAAAATTCCGTCGGAAATTTACGACGGATTTAAATCCGTCGGAAATTATTTTATTTCTGACGGATTTTTCCGTCGGAACATACTTTCCTACGAATTTCCGTCGGAACTGCTTTAAATCCGTCGGAAATTTTCGACGGAATTTTATTCCGTCGGAACTTTCCGACATAATTTTTTTCCGTAGGAAATTTTGTGATTTGCGACGGATTTTCGTGTCCGTCGGAACATTTCCGCCAGAATTCGGCCTATTTCTAGTAGTGCATGTCTAATATAATTCTTAACTAGTCATTATGAATCTTGCATATTAGATAAAATCATGTACAAATTCAACAGTAAATCTCAAAGCAAACAAAGTTACATGGCTTATTTAATCGATTCAAGACAAAAATTTCATTACATCCAAACAATTCAATGTGATAGTGGCTCCCTTTCTAATCAAATTGCCACCCCAAACAGTATAATTAAAACCAAACTTGAAATCCACTTCGACATTAGTTCTTTTCTACTCAAATTACACCAAAGCAAATCAATTCAATTTTAACACAATCACATTAATCATCAGACTACACCACAATATATCAATAACAACATCAATGGACTTCAACATTTCATCATCAAAATATAAACAATTATATATGAAAGAAAAATTAAAATTGGTTACCATTTAACTCAAATTAAACCAAATAAGACTTCAGAATAACCATACTAACCCTAATTCAATCAAAAAATGAATCAAACCCAATTCCATAAATAAACTGCTTCATTAATCAATCCACAATAAGGTAAAAACAGTAAATAAATTTTTAAAAAATAAAATAAAAAAAAAACAAAAAAGAAAAATTGCATGACTTACCTGATGACAGTCGACGGACGACGGAAGAGGCTAAGATAGAAGGAGGAAACCGGCGAATTTTCGCCCTGCACACGTTGATTTGTGACCCAATTTTAGGGTTTTTGCCCAAATTAACAAAAATTCAAAGCAAAATTAGGGTTTTCGAACAAATTAACTAAATAATGAAACCCATCGACTTACCTTGATACAATCGTCGGAAAGCATAGGAGAGACGACCTGGAAGGGATTCCGGCGACGGTGGTCTCCGTGGGGGTTGAATTGAGACCCAAATTTAGGGTTTTCGAACAAATTAACTAAACTAATGAAATAAAAAAAAAAAAAAAAATTGAACGACATACCTGTGTCTTGCATCGCTGGCCGGAGACAGGCGTCGGTGGGAACAACGGCGGAGCATCGACCGTCGTGGTGTTCTCCCTCTTTCCCCTTCTTTTCTGCTTCAACGTTTCTTTTCCCCTTCTCAACATAATGAAACCCGATTTTGTTTAAATTTCTGATTTAAACTCTTACGACCGGCTCTACGACCGTTTAGACCGGTCGTAATTTTTTTTTTAAAAAAAAATTAATTCTAATAATTGTAGAGACTGTTATAACGGCCACAATTTATTACAAAATGGTCGCAATAAATTAAAATTATGACAGACTATTAAACGGTCGTAAATAATACTAATTGCGACCGTTTTTCAGCCAGTCGCAAGAAAACAGTCGTAATATGACCGAATTTTAGTAGTGCTACGCTAATCTTAGTAATATGAACGCATTAACATAATCAACATTATCCAACTAGGGTTTTCAGTTTTTGTCCTTTTGGAGTTCTGGCCTGGGATAATAGTTCTATAAATAGATAGGTCGAAAAATATTGTATGTAGTAGCTAGAACCACTACTTGACACATTTAATCAGTCATTTATATCATATTTGAGTTTAATAACAAAGTTTAAATGGCTTTACCAAATTATCCAAATGCTACTTTCATGTTTAGTAAGCCACTGTCTAAAACAGACGTGAAGCTTCGATTAGCTTTTCCAACCCAACATGTCCATTTTATAGAAGAACTGCCTATTGATCTCAATAAGCACCCTGATTGGTTTAAAGTGTTGGATCTTGAAGGTCAATGTTGCTGGAATTTCAAGCTGAACAAAAGGCCAAATGGCCTCTATTTTAAGCCTGAAGTCTCCGGTGA